CGTATCATCCTAACCAATTGGGACGATATTGACACTGAAAGTGACATTGGCAAGCTACTATCGACGTGTCACTTTATATCTAAATTTAAACTACTCTCAACAGGACAGATCACTCAAAATGAATTCCATAAGGTGTCTTGAAAAATTGTGATAAGGGAATGGTTTCAAGAAGAAATTGGCCTGGTTTTGGGAACATAAGGTGTATTTATTAATATACCGAGACCACGTTACACACAGTTGACTTGACTCTGCATTGAAATGATGACACTGGGCCTCAGTATTTCTAACTTGGATTATCTCGACATTTCTGTAAAACTAAGTACTTGGATATTATTTTATGTGGAAAATATGCAGCGTGCTCATTCAATATGGCAGGCTATTGAGGTACGGGTCATCGAATCACATGTCTTTGCCATTAGTTACCATATGTCAGGTTGAATTTGGCTCATTTACCCTCATCTTCCAAGATACGATTTGAATAGGTATACAGAGCTTTCGGCTAATATCTACTGGATAGTTATGTTTCAGGAGATCAACTGCAGGCAGTTGATTTCTGACTTCAAACTACCACAACCCTTCTGTATGTCAGAGTCGACTCCTTCACAGTACTCGCCTCACCTTTTTCTACCTTTGTGTCTGTCTGTCTCTTTTACATCTGTGAATCATTATTTTGTCCCCCTCTCAAGTTTTTTTCACCTTGATGTTCCTTCCCTCTGTGAAACTCGAAGTCAGCTAAAGGGATAATGAAAACTATCAAAACGCTTGCCATTTGAGATTAATAAATAAATATTTCAGGAGATCGAGTTGCATTGAACACCATTTTATCCTTAACAACCTCACGACACCGAAGAGGTTGATTTCAACTCAATTGCGAAAAATTGACAATTTTTTGAGTTCTCTAGCGATACCTTGGTCATTAATTCACCAATCCACTTCCAATTTCTTTGATGCCAGCAGATGAGCACTTGAAACTCCTCGAATCGCATCAATTCAAACTCCAAAACATAGGAGCGAATTCGCTGAATAGTACTAGTAGTAACGGTTTAAAATTTGCTAAACCTTCTTCAAAACAACTTCTAACCTTTTCTTTCCTCTCTTTTATAAGTGTGTAGCGGATTAGCTACCTCAATAACCTTGACTATTCTCAGAAAGCTCTATAGCAGTTTCTTCCAACTCGAAAGTCCCAGGGAATTAGCTAAGCTAAAACAAAGTTATAAAGGAAACAGACGTGTAGCACGGAATACGTTAATAGCTAAATATCTCTGAGTAGTGTTCTGTAGCAGGATTTCTATTGGTGCGATGAAGTTTCCCACAAGTGCAATCGTTAGTAGGTGGTTCATGCTACGTAAATTCGAGATATTGAAATCGAACGCAATTGCTCCCAAGATTAGCTAAGCTACCTCAACAATATGATGGAATGGGTTGCATTCATTCTTGCTGTACTCCTGTCAAAGGTTTGGTCCTTAAAGGGCAATTAAGGGTTTTTCGAACACTGGAAGGATTACTGATTGTTTAGTTAATCTACCAGAATTAGCAAGTGGGTGAAGCCAATAGAAAGTACTAGTTTTTAAGAAATTAATTTCTCTTTCATTTACTCTACTTTAAAGAGGAGTTTCCGTATTTGTATTCACCCTACTTTTACTTCCCTTCTATTGGAACAAGATTGCCTCTGTTTGTTGGAAAATACCTGAGCTAGCTATGATTTACCACTGAGAAAAGTAGACCATAACATTAACGTAGTTTTATATTTCCCGTGACATCTTGCCCACTTTTGAACTCTTAGTATATTCCATCAGAGTGGGACTATTAACTTATTGACTGACATATAGGAGAAGAATCCGGTCATTTCTCATCACATAGGTCGTCTCAACAGTCTAAACTCACCGATTCCACAATCACTTCAAACTTATTCTATTTAGTGTTTCGAAACAAATGGAAAGAATGAGAATGCTGGTCAACAAAAGGCTTCTTAAAGATTAATACAAGTCACACAGAATCATCATGTGGCTATCACAATCCGTGGTTGTCATAAAACCTGTCCTTAGTCTCTTGACACACTTCTTCTTCTTTTTCGAGAAGGTATCACAGTGCCACTTGCTTGAAGGATAATATGAGAGGGAATAGCACTCCTACCCGTAAGGAATCGGCTCGCCGTCATTGGTGAATTCATTATTTGCCGTCATTTGAGTCAGGAGGAAAATTGGTTCGTCAATGAGTGTCAAAAGATCGTCCTAAAATTGTTGCACACAATTTTACGGCCTACATTCTCAACCTGACTCTTTATGTGAAACATCCTTGTATTTAACGATTCGCAAAGGGCAACACCTTCGCTATATGTAAGATTGGAGGAGCTTTTAAAATAACACAAATTTGCACAGATAACTTCTATAAATTTCTTCTATTTCCTCCGTTAAAATTTCGACCTACCTCCGCGATCAGTACTCAACGTTGTTGGATTTGTGAACGCTTTCCATATTGTGGAACACTGTTCCAGTGCAAATCCATGAAAGGTTAGGCTCAAGGCAATAACTAATAATGGACGTAGGCACATTGGTGACAGATGATTTCTGAAAATATTCAATGGCTAATTGCAGTCGATACAAAACTGAGAAACGATAATTGGCATTTAAGCATATATCGCTATTAATTAGCTAAATTAACGGTAAACGCTGCACAGGCTAATTCATTTATATTCAAATTCATAGTGTTTAAACTTTGGTAAATACAGAAAATAACAGTATTGATGGAGTGTTACAGGACTGAAGTCTTTTCATGCAGTTCTATAAGCAGCAATTGCAGGTGCTGAATAGCAATAATCAAGAGTGCGAAAATGATGACTATTAAAATAAACATCCGTTCGTGTCAAAAATGACGGGTAATATTATAGATGTTCTGGTGTCTATATTTCGCTTGACATAGTAATATGTTATTTAAATAAATGATATAATATCTTGATCTACCTTGATTTAATTAATTATCTAACAAAATGTGTAACTTCCTATAACCAAATTAGTTGAAATCACATTAGCCTGCCTCTTTGGAAGTGCAGCAGGAGATAAGATATTAACCTAGTGCCAAATCACAAAATATAAAAGAAATAAATAAATAGGAGGAAATATCTATAAATATACTTATCGAAGTTGTTGAATTTACTTCTAATTAACTGAATCAAAACCCTTTTAGGTAGATCTTCTTCTAGACTTGAAGTTGTCATTTCTTGATTATTTCATAAATATGACAAAAACTAGCCATACCATCAGATCCTGCGACAAAAAACGCCCTGGTTCTTCAAGAAAAATTCTGGAAGTGAAGGAATTTAAATATGTAACCTAAAGCGTAACCAACAATTTAGATATTGAAATTCAAATTATTATGCAGTCAATGAATGTTATTAGTTCTTTTTATCTGACATTTCAAATGAAAATCAATAAATGTTTTTGATATTATTTTCCATAGGCCTATGTAAATTGGTTAATTTAAATGGCATGATTAATACAATTAAACTATTCTAAGAGATTCAGAAAATACAGTAATATTTGTAGTTATTAGAAAATAAAAGTGAAGCTATTTGCTGAAAAGATTTCATCTTCAACCTTGAGTTTTGAGCTCGTGCCGTATATAAACTGGGGGTTTGATTTGATTTATGTGTATCGCTAGTGGTCGGTTTACTTCTCTCCGTTCATGAGATGGTGGCAGGTCTATCCAAACTAGTTAAAGGTGACCCGTCTTCGTTCACACTTGAGGCGTTAACATCGCCGTTCATCGTGCTTCATCCTGTTGAACTGTTGTTCAACATCCTAAATGAGCATAAAGAAAACGTTAATAATGTGTATGGCGTAGATTCAATCCGTGGAAAAATTTTGTACGAAAGAATGCTTAAAGAAGATGCCAATTTAGGCATTAGACACATTTTTATATATAATGGCTTGAGGCAACGTAGTGTATGTTTCGAGTTGTTTAATTTCTTTTAGTATCTAGACCTTCAAGATACCGCTAGAAACAATGCATTTTCCAAAAAGAATTACGATGCAGAGAAATTTAATGTGTCCTCTTCAAAATTCGTCATGCATGGTGATTTTTTTCCGTCTTTGAGGACATTTTCTCTTAACTGCCTGCGAAATCTCGGAATTCCTTTTGTGGTGGCTGAGTATGACTGGCTGCCAAGTTGTTTGGCCATTGCTTTACTTCTAGATTGTCCAATTGCCGCGTTTTCTTCCGATTGGTTCGTATGTTCAAAGCCTATCAGCATTCCTGATGTATTTCCATCTTTAACCTTGAATGATCTTAAGATTGTCAACTTGCAAGATAAATTTTACACAGTTGAAAGAGAGAATGGTAGAGACCGAGTGATGTTAAATGTGTTTCGACCGGAGAATTCACCATTGAAATCAGTTCCCGTTGGATCTCGAATTCTCATAGCTCTTCTTATGAACCAGCATATTGTCCCCAAACTTCCAAGTGCTGTTAAAGTAGAACAACGTGATAATGAGTCATTCACGGCTGCTAAATTACGAGCGGTTATTGATTACGTTTCGAGGACTATCCCCATTTATGTTCTCAAGGATGTTATTGAGTTATATGTTGATTCTGGACGTGCTGACCACACATCTAAAATGATTTTGTCTTATCTTGAGCGCTTTTGCCCTGATTTTTCCATGGGCTCACAACTCCTGAGTATTCTAGGTTTGAATCAGGGACTTCCAGCGATCGAACCTCCATCCTCGAAGAATAGACGGTTTCAGAAGAGGGAGGACCTTTCGCCATCTGACTTCTTTAAGTTGTCAACGAAGTTATTGAAAGGGATTGGTCATGAGGACATGCCCCTTGACTTCTTTTACCTTTGGCCTGTAGGTCTAATTCACCTATACCGTTCGGGCTATTTGGATAAATTTTACGTAGCTGCCTTGTATAATGATCTTGGTGTAACGTTCGAAGCGGGAAATGAATATCTAGTCGAATTACCGCATTGCTTTGGACCATCCCGAGTTCTTCGTGGCATAATCTATTCTCTTCTGGTTGGAGTTGACGAAGCTAACGGAGCTCGATTTAAGCTTGTTGGGCTGAAGCCTGGTGTAAAGGAGCTCTGTTATGAGGGTCTATTTCGCTACAAGACGTACAAAGTGCACGTGCAACCGGCGTATCTACCGGCTAACTGTTTGTCCGAGGATTTCATTCATACAGTTATTGGCTTCACCAGTTCCTCAGATATTCCCGAGTGGTGTGAACCACTTGTAGTCTCCTGTCTTCTTTGGCACCAGCAGAAACCTCAGCACAAAAGCTGTCAAATTAGGGAGTGTCCATTGATTATATCAACGCTTCTTTTGGCTTTAATAACTCACCAAACTCCTGAGGCAGATTTACCTGCTCTTGCAGATCACCTGGATAACATGAAGGCAGCAGTTATGACCGAGTTGACTCAAAGTGATGCTTTGCCTTCACCCGCATTAGAGAAAGAGCTTCTACATGGAGCTCTGGAGTTGGCTAATCTTTATACCAGTTATATCAGCCTTTATAATCTTCTCACAGTTCTTCGGAGCCCTAATTTGAAACCGGAGTTCCAATCCCCTGCCTATAACCGTTTTCCTCATATTTCTATTGCTTTTCCCTCCCTTGAACTCCTTGTCGGCATTGCTAGTCATCTGAGAAGTCAAGAGTTTCCCTATAATGTTGCTCTACGAAAGTGGCTGGTGAGGGCTTTCAGACCAGTTGTAAACGATATTTCTGCCGTGAAAGCGTTGCAACTGGCCGTAACTGCATTCTCGTCCCTGATGCAGCGAATTTCCACCATGAAGTTGGCATTCCAAGAACCGGAGGTCGATATTTCTGATCCCCCTAATATTCTCCGACCGAAAGAAGAGCGAGCATCAAAGAGTGCTCCTAGTTCCAAAGAAAAGTCCACTAAAATTATAGTTGAATCTCTTCCCAATTCCCGCCATCGTGACAATTTAAATAAACCTCGAAATCTGGGTGGAGGTGGTAAAGGTCGTGGAGAAAGGCCAAAGAAGTCGGGGAGCTATGCCGACAGGTTGGCTAAACGTTGTGAAAACATGAATCTGAATGCTCCCTGATCATTGCCTTTCTTACAATCCGTATATTCTTCTTCCCTACATTTTCATTTTATACTATCACTGACAATTTATGACTTTTTGCCCTTGTCGATTCTATCTATTTATAGGAAGATTGAACAGTTGAATTTGCATGCCCTTGCTATAATATTATTACGGTAATTTGGAATCATATTGTGTGTTCCTCCTATTGTTGGAGGTTGGTTCAACGAATAGGCACCTGGGAATCTGGTTAGTTGGTGGCGCGTCTGAGTTATGGTCGAACTGGTTGGTTTGCTTCCCTAAGTCATTTGTCAATGTATTACATATTGATTGGTAGTTCATTACTGTAGTAGAGAGCGTTGAGAAGCTGATACTAGTTGTGCTGTTTTTGCCGCTACACTATGCACATTTCGTCTGAAAGAATTAGTGCAGGTAGATCCGGGTAACTGAGATAATCTGGACACATCGTCTTGAGTTTGCTCTAGTACGTCATTGTTGTCATCACGCTTTTTAACCACAATCTGATTAGCCAAGTGTAACCACTATGACTGATGCCACTCATATTGGCCCTGACCGAAGCCCAATGGTCTTGTTTGGCAAAATTCCTTTGAGATAGCTCCCCCCCCATCCCGAATAGTAGAGCTATCTCATCTGCAACGAGGAGACCGAAAGTATGGGGTGAATAGCATTTAATTTATCTTATTTGCTTCGAGTATTTTGATGTGGTAATTCCCAACAAAGGTAAGCAGCGTTTGAATGATATTCTCAGGAAACCACGATTACATTTGAGGACTCTTTTCTTTGTATTCTAACCCTCTATTCCTTTTCACTTCCTTATTGTAGTTCGTACATCGACTCGAAATGAAATGAAAAGGCAAATTTTCGTTAAGTTTGCTTTGTTGAGCATGATCAACAGGTGTGGAGTGCACATAACACCAACAAGACTGCACAAAGAAATCCTAGCGCACTCGAAAATTTTGTCGCGGCATGACAGTCATAGCGTAGTGCGACTTGTCAGCCAATCAGCAGCCAGTAGACACAACTTGTATTCTGTCTTATCGACACCACCAAGGGACATTGTCAAAGAGGATTGTTGTGGCTCAGTCAAGGCCAATTCCGTAGTAGCTGGTACTTAACAAAATGCCTACAAGCACTTTATGTTTTATACAAAATATCTTGAAGTATGATTTATGTAGGTAGAGTGGAAAGGTGTCAGTAATTCGACGTTACTTTGTGCGTCTTATTGTAAATGATCCAGTACGTCGCTCCTCATAAATTGGGAGTGGTTTAAGCTTGCGTTCTCTCCATATCTAGACTAGAACACTTGTCAACGCACGGATGAGAGCTCCAATTGTGATAATTCGCGAACACTTGTGACTCTTGATGCTTCACCATCCTATTTCAATGTGATTAAGTAGTGCGTTCAAGATTCCAATCGTCATAGTCCTGTTCTGTGTTAAGATGAGATAAGCTCCGATCTGCCATTTTAATGATCATGTATTACATTTCAAATACCTACACTATTATTAACCGTTAGAAGGTGTTCATTAGGGTTAGAATAAAAATTGGAATCATCAATCACGTCTTCATTTCTCGCATGGTTGTAGGTGAAATTCAGACTTTACATCACTGAATATCGTGCCCACAGAAAAAGCAAATAAGGCTTAGATTGCTCATTCAAATTCAATCAGCTCGATAGCTGATTCCAGTCATTGAATCCTTCATAAGTGGCTGTCAAACGTACACATTGTGTTAAATTACTTGTATTAAATAACCCACATTGGTAGTCATTTGTTGAAACTTCATCGTATGCTCGCTCGCTAGGATTTGAAGGTATGACCGTGCAGCCTCTCCTACGTATTTGTCGCAGAGAACGCACAGCCAATGACCAATCGAAAGCCCATGTTTGTTCCACGAGATCCATCATATTTATGACTAACTTTACGGTGTATACACTTTTACCACAATGCGTTTCCTAGATAAACTTTTTCCGTGCGATATCTCTGTTTCCTCTATAGCTGGGATGTAGCTAAGCTGGTTCTAGAGGTATAGCTACATATAGTAGAAACTAACACTGTATCAATCCATTACACATTCAAAAGTGGCAGGTAGTGGTTACTTTTTGGCATTACAATTACCTAAATTATCGACTTGAAATGTTCCGTGACCCAATAATATTAACCACAATCAGCTGACGGTGTTTCTTAAAGCAAATAAAGCGAGTCTGTTGTTAGTTGCGCAACAGTATTTCTTTGGGTTGCTGACATGATTCACTGAGGCAGGTCTTAGTACTTATAGGCGTGCCGATTGATAAGTGAAGTGGTTCTGGAAAATTCGACTCATTGAAATTTATCCAGTAGCGTTCCAATTTATTTTTTTGATTTTATTTATCTTTCGCCTTCTTTACAGAGTTACGGTTTCAACGTAAACTGATTTCTCTATAATTATGCCGTACAATAATTATTATAGACTCTGGTATCGTGATTCGGGGTATGTGGCTACAATAATTGAATGTTTCAGTCTCTTGCACGTAGCTTACACTCAATTAAGGCCTTCACAACTGAAATCTTACAAAAGCATAGCCGAGGTCAAAGTCTCTCTCAATAGACTTCGAAGATCGTCTGGTAAGGCGAAGAAAGCTCTGAGCAAAGTGCAACACAAATTACCGGGTCATTTCCTATGCACAACGCTTTCACACAGATCAAAAACTCCAACAACCCAAGGGTACTCCTCCAGTCATGCAGACAAACGTAGCCCAAGTTGTCATAGTTTTCAGATGTGCATTTCTTACTGCGATGAGAAAGCGATTGTGACCTCTACATCATTTAAAGTGTTGCTCACGTTGGATTACAGTGTCTTCGTGTAATTGCTGATCACAAATGAATGAGTGCATCCAAAAAAGGGCACATGAATAATGTTATAAGGAATCGGTCCTCCTGTCACATCACAGGGAAAAGTTAAATAAAGTTGTGGACCCATTTTTACTACTCCACCGGTCCCAAATTTTGGCCTCCGAACTATTCCCACCCACCTCCACCCGATTCACCATTAAGTATGCAATAGGCAGTGTGGTGAAAGACCTGAAGCTAAAGCTAACTAGTTAATGCGTTGATAGGTTTAACCATGGTGAAGATATTTATACCAAATGGCAGGCGTTTTGATGGTTATCATTAGCCCTGGAGCTGACTTCGGGGCTTCACGGAGAGGAGAAGGGACATCAAAGTGACAAAAAATCGAGATGGGAGGCAGAATAATGATTCAAAGAGGTAAAAGAGACAGACAGACAGACACAAAGGCATAAAAAAGATAAGATAAGTGCTGTGGAAGGGGTCGAATATGACAAATAGTCGGGCCAAAGAAATTTGAAGTCAGAAGTCAATTGCCAATCCATGGACTTTTTTGCCGTACAGGAGAAGTCAACTACCAGTTAATAGACTTTGCCGTACAAGTATACGTTGCCCAGTGTGCACCACGTGGAGGTAAGTCTATTGCGCACCCCCATGGTGAAAACATAATCTAGTGCTGCAGAAGCTTTTTGTAAGGGTACTAGTACCCTAAAGTCGTCGATAATCGATGGAACAGTCATAATGAAAGGTTATATACGTCGTTATTGTGATTGATCATACAAACAGTGTGGACATTTCTATGACATAAATACATTCAATTCACTTTGCACGCTTTCCTCCGTTATTAATAACTCTGAAACCGATTTCTGAAATATGCAACCTGGAAAGGGAAAAACATCTGGTATGAGTTCCTTACTTCTCACTCCAAATTACGTAATACTGAAATTCGATACCGCGAATACAAATGCCACGTCACTGATGCAAAGAGAATTGGCATGCAAAACCCATACTTCAATTTATATTTATGGTAGCTCTCGCCTGCATTAGTCACTTCCATTAGCTCCAAATATGATTTTATAAAATTGAATTGGTAGTACTGGTAACAAGATGAATCGAAAAACGCCAACAGTAGAAGTGTAGTTGGAGAGTCAATAATTTTAGATCTGCAGAGAAATGTAGCGGATTGCTACCTTAGTAAAGCCTGACTGACTCAGAAATCTCTCTGGCAGGTTCTCCAACATCTAGCTAGACTCCCAGAACCAACTTGGCTATAGCCAGATATAAAGGAAACTGACGTGTAGTACGGAGCACGTTCATTCAGTACGTCCATCGCGGATAAAGTGTACACGCAGGGAGCTACTCATTGTCAGGATGGGGGATTAGGTTAAACAGAGGTTGATGATTGATCACTGTTTGTACGGTCGGGGCACACAGAGTTGTACGGCCGCACCTCTCAATCCTGGCGAGCAGACATGCAGGCATACGATGACGCACAGAGCGATAACGTGTCCCACAGAATAAAGCACAAAAGACTAACATAATTCATGAGAGTATACGTCATTTCTTTATCCCATCTTGACGATCTCGTAAAATCAACCCTTATTAAGAATCCGTCTCAATGAAAACCTGTCAAGTTGTCAGACAACAGTAAGAAGTGCACTTGAATGAGTAATATCAGGAGGTAATGAAAGGGGTTAAGAACTGGCTGGATGACCTGTTGGAAAAGATACATCCGCAGCAGTTGAAAATGTAATTCAGGTCTGCAGAAGAATCTCGTCAGAGAAATAGTAGTGTAAAGAGTGTTTATGACTACGGAGTTGGCGAATACCGTTGGAACAGTTGAAAGAGATGGTGGGAAGCTAGATGTGCATCGTAAAAAGGGTGGAGTGGGGCTGTGGAGAGGTTTAGTGGAGGAGAGCAGATTGCGACATCCTATGCGTTTGATAGGTGTAATGATGTACGAATGGTAATAGGAGTTTTGGTTGCTTCGTGGATTCTTTACTGCCGATGGATAAGTAACTACTCCGATAATCGATTGAAATTAAACACACAGTTACCACGATAATGGTCAGTTATGACCAACTCACATAAATTCAAAATCAAGGGGTAAAATTACAACTAGTTTTTAAGGAGTACAAGCTGCGCACGTTGTCATTCTTTGATTAAAATTTTGTATAAAAAAATATCACATGGAATTCTATGTTTACATTATGGGGTGTGCGATAGACTTACCTCCACATGGTGCAAACTGGGCAACGTATATTCAAGCGGCAAAAAAGTCTATGACTGACAGTTGACTTCTCACTTCTAACTACCATCACCTCACTCTATGCTATATTCGACTATTTTCACAGTACTCACATCACCTTTGTTCTACCTTTGTGTTTGTCTCTTACCTCTTTGAAATACTCTTCTGTTCCCCCCTCCCCTCTCGACTTTTTCCAATTTGATGTTCCTTCCCCTCTGTGAAGCCTGAAGTGAACTAAAGGGCTAATGGTAACCATCAAGATGCCTGCCATTTGATATAAATAAATGTTTACATTATATGATGAAGGAGAGGACTCCATTGCAATGGTGTATCGTTAGGAAATCAAGTGTCTGTCCCTATGGTATTTCAGCCAGCTACGTTTGTTGCAGTGGACCCAGACTAATTTAAAGTGAAAGAGAGAGAATTTGGGAGTAAATTTTGCTTTCAGTCGCATTCCTAACTTTACCAAAAGAGCATAAATGCATGAATATAAGTAGAATTAATATTGTTTAATTGGAAGGCCTCAGAGCTTACGACCGCAATTACACCCCATAAGGTAAGCAGCACGGCCGCACTATGGAGCCTGTCTGAGTGCTCATATGATTCCTTTGTTCAGCGATGACAGCGTTGTGCTCTCCACAGTCCGGAGAAATATTACCAATTGCATATATTCCAAATGTGGCTAGTGCGACAATCTTCATTTCCCACATGGTTGTGGATGAAATGTAGAGTTAACATGACGGAAAACCGTGTCCAGAGGAAGAAGCAAGGATCAGTATCAGTTCGATAGCTAATTCCATTCTCTGTGAGTGTGAGCCAATCGGCTTTGATCCGTTGGCCTGTGACTGGGTCACTATCGCACGTGCCAAATTACTTGTATTAAATTACTCAAATATGATGAGAGAACTTAGGAGTATAGTTTTTTGTAAGGGACATTCATAACTTTTCCTAATTAATATATGTACGAATATAAGTAGAATACGTATTGTCCGTTTTTAAGATCAAAACTCCACCCCAAAGCTCAGTATAGTGCTATTCCAGCTAAAGGTCAAGTTGTCATAGTCTGCATGCGCCAACATCTCGATAAGTTAGTCGATGCAAGGACATCCTGTGGGAATTGATAATCCCAAGGCTCAATAACAACTGCAGTTTAGAACTCTCTATATCAATTAATTCAACTCCATGACACTTCATTTAATTTGGAAAGGCTAGTCAACTTTATAACCGTCTTACTTGAATGCCTGTTGATTGAAGGAGCACACAGCAACAAAGATGTCAGTTTATTATTCTCGCTCACTCGATTATCGACATTATATCTTTCCTCACGGGGTGCGTAATAGACTTACCTCCACGTGGTGCATCCTGGGCAACGTATACTCATACGGCAAAAAAGTCAATTTATCGGCAGTTGACTTCTGACTTCAAACTTCCATGACCCTATTGTATGTCATATTCAATCACTTCCCCCATACTTATCCTACCTTTTCTCTGCCTTTGTGTCTGTCTGTCTTTTTAACATCTTTAAACACTCTTCTGTTCACCCCCCCCCCCCTGGACTTTTTTCGTGAAGCCTGAAGTCAACTAAAGGGCTAATGACAACTATCATAAAGCCTGTCATTTGATATAAATAAATAAATAATATCTTTCCTCACTTTAGAGACAATGATGCCCTTCATTTTATCGAGCTCTGTCTATAAGGTTTCTATAAATATCATGTTGAGCATTCCTCCTTCAACAAGAGAGGGAGAGGGCAATTGGTAATCGTCTACAAAATGTAAGCATTGCCAAGGGACTGATTTACACATTGAGCTCTTTTTTGTATTGAAGGAATGTCTAGCTCGATTAGTGGTGTAGAGGGTAATACGCATACCTGAGGCTGGTAGTTACTGGTTCGCTATTACAAGCGATCGAGAATGAATAGCAGTCCTAGCTGAAATCTATAAAGGAGAGATAACAGAATGAGGATTAACCATTAAAATGTTCACATTACGGCAACAGTCTATAAACCGGAAGCTAACTTCTCACTTCAAACTACCATCACCAAATTGTATACCATATTGAATAACTTCCACAACACCCACACCACACCTTTTACTCTACATTCGTGTCTATCTCTTTTGCACATGTGAATCATTCTTCTGTTCTGTCCCCCCTCCCTCGCCTCGGCTTTTCTACTTTAAAGTTCCTCCCCTCTGTGAAGCCTGAAGCCAACTAAAGGAGTAATGATAGATAAATATCCAAAGAACCAGAAACCATTTCCAATTGCTTGTCACTCCCTTCCTAATAAAAAACCAACATACCCATTTCCAGAAATCTGAACATATTTTAAATTGGACGGATGTAACCCTAAACTTAATGCGCACCAACTAAGATCAGTTCCTCGAAATTACCTCTGCGCCATTATTCACTAACACCTTAAATGATTGCTTGTCAAGCACACCCTGAACTGAATTATATCGATTCCAACCATAGAACCTCCCAATATTTTTCCTCTTGAGGCAAAACATTGGCAAAGAAAAAGTAAGTAGATTATGACAAAAACACATGAAAATAATAATAATAATAGAGGAAAATATTAACTATTTCTTATCACCAAATCTCTGTTCCAGGAGAGCAGCATATTTACTCTTCTTCGTTTTCTTCATAAAAGTATTTGCAGGGGGCGGGGTTTTTGGACGATCGTAGTTCGGTTGATAAAGTGACGCCGATGACGACGTTCTCTCTCGGAATGGTACCTTTCCTGCAGAAGTAAACGTTGGCACAAACACAGGAATCGGTCGTTCATTTGGTCTCCTTTTCCAAGTGGAATTAGTTGGGTGAGAATCATCCTGAGAATCGGGTTTGAAAATGGGCAGAGGCTTCTCCGCTGGTGGCATAGAATCAGGAGTCTTGGAGACTTCCGTTAGAGGCTCCTTTATCGAAGTAACTGAAGTTGAGAGAGGCTCATCCCAGTAGATTTCTGTATTTTTAACCAAGCCCATAAAATGATGGAATGCTGAGGAGAAATCCGAAGCCTCCAACTTCGCAGCATGTAAGAAAGAGGAGCTTAACAATTCACTTAGACGATTTTCGGGCTTAGAGAAGGATAATTTAGCAGCCAGAAGAGCGGACATACGTAAACATGGAAAAACCACGAATACTGGCTCGAATGAGACTTGCTTAAAGAGGGAGAGTTTGGACGATCCATTGGAACTATTGACAACACTAAAGAAAGAAAGGAACTCGGAATAAATTTGTTGAATTTCTTCGGACTGTTTGAGATAATTTTCCTCAGTATGATTGAACTCTAATTTCTCAGATTTCGCATATTCAAGAAAGGCGGCAGAAAACATTTCCGGGGATTGCTTACAAAATATGTTAATTAGTGCACAGAAAACCGTGGATAAAACTGCAGGACAAAGTTCCGGTGAATGACCAGAACAAGAGGAATAAGAGTGCCAAAGTAAGCAGCACAACACGATCACAGCTATTCTTTCATCTAAATGGAAGATTGAAAAGTGAAAATAATCCGTAATGTATGCCCAAGCATTATCGATATAATTGTTTCTGGAAAGAACTGCGTTCTGTAACCGTCGCAGAATACCTATCGGGGGTGGATTTGTTTCAATAGGGCATAATAAAGGGGAATCGATTTTACCCTGACAGAACAGTTTATATAGAGTCGGGTCATTAAACCCGACTTTTAAGTGACGACAAGATTTTCCCTCTAGGATATGCAAAGCCGTGCTAAATAAAAATTGCGGAGAACTCGATTCGAAATCATGGAAATCAAAATGCGCTTGAGATTTCGTTGTCTTCAACCCCAGCCAAGAAGATACAGCGGACGCTTCTTCATAGTCAGGTGTCAAAGAAATAAGATAGTTAATCATCATTTGGGCTACCAGGCAGGGATCATTCGATTGTAAAGCATGCTGCATAATATGCTGTAGAATAGTTAAGGGTTCATGACTATTATCCTTCAACCACTTCAAGACTATACCAACTTCCAAGTCCTTATTTGCAGTTGGGGGAAAGTCGATCAACTCCATCAATAAACAACCAAGATACAAATATCTTTGTGGGAAATATGGTTCCAAATAAGATAGTGATTCTGCGTGTAATTGCGAAGAATTCGTGTTCAGATTTTGAAGGCATTCAATGGGAAGAAAAATAGGCCGTGAAGTACTATCACATGAGTAGAGATTCACATAAAAACCAGGATGCGAAATCAGCAATGGTAAAAGGTGTTGTTCTGCAAGAGCCAGACAAGTACAAACTGCACTAGATCGGGAAACGACAAAGCTAACACCGACCGAAGAGAGAAATTCGCAAATAGTCCTAGGTAAGATACCAGCAATGTTTTCATCAGGATCCAAAGTCCCATCGACAACAAATAACGGCGTTATTTTACATGCTCTCAGGTAACTAATGACTTCTTTAATTCGAGAATACACGGACATATTATCATAACCATGGTTATCCAGATCATATCGCTTGATAATAAAACGTACAAAATCCTGAGCATGAATTAACAACTCGCACGACGATAAATTGTGTCCTTCATAAAGAGTGCAATTAGCGGACAGAAACGAGGCGACCCTCTCCACCATCCTAATTAAACTAACAGGTACTGAAACAGCGAGAATAACCTTCAACAAATAGGACAGAAGTAGAGGCAAATGGAAATAAGACTATTCTATTTTTAAAATCATTGCACATATCCAGGGAATTACTTTGAAATATTTACTGTAAGAATTCACAGCTGCTAATGCCTCTAATAAACCCATAGAAATTGTGTTAATTCATATACGCAAAGTTAAGCGATTGGGAACATATTGTTTATTAGGAAACCACTTGTACTTGTCCAAACTTTAAATTGATCAATTTGAGGTATTTGAAAATATGATATACACCACATGGGTGTCAACCATTTAAATCAAAAAAGTGAAACTATGAGTTAAAGCAAACGAATCAAAGGACCTTCTTTTTAGCATAAATAGCTCAAAATACCGCCAAATAAATGGTAAAATTGGATTCTATTATAAATACGACATTCGAAAAACCAATTCGGTCATTAACTTTCATATTTTTAAATTGTCAAGCTTTGGCCATTATTCATAGGTTTATCGATACTTCTGGTGCGATATTTAGTTTCATTGTATACTTGAAATTAATTAGACATTAAAACACTTATTTAACATGCAAACTATCTTTGATAAAAGCATAAACTATCTTATCTGTATTATTTCAGAGGTGTACCAATTTAACGAGTTTTTTTAATTAATTTGTACTAATTCACAATTTTCCTAATAAAAGTTCATATCAGAAATTATAGATTTTGTATCACCATCGGTAAACGAAGGCGCTTGTTGTCTCGAAAGATATAAGCCCATATTAGGATCATACGTATCTTAAAACTTCTTAAACATTCATTTTCTAAAGCTTAATTGCATAATAAACATCAGATTTATAATAAAATCATACTATAGGATCGCATAATATGCATTCATATCCATATTTTATCATTTCACATTATTATTTTTCCTTTTAACATAACTCCAATGTCTCCGCCAGAAACAATACATTTTGCATTCTCGCTTTTTTTATTTGCTAGATCGCCACTCCTATCACGCATAATTGACTGCCATTTTAGGAGTAACGGCATAAAGTAATTATGGATACAGATATTTAGGATCTACGCTTTAAATGTTTAACGTTTCAAGGTTTTAGGCGGCAAGTACTAGATTATATGACTGATGTCAGGTTAGGCTCTATTCGGTTGGATAGTTTTAAAGATTTTTTCGTTGATATTTTAAAATCTCAAGTCTCTCAGACAAAATTTATGCATTGATTCTGTTATCTTAGATAACTTACATAATGAAACGCTTAGATGAATCTGAGCTCTCCAAACCTCCCTCGAAGGTCTTGGAAGTCATTTGTAAGCTCGGAAAAGGTTCCTATGGTAGTGTTTTCAAAGCCAGACATCGGTCAACAGGAACTATTGTTGCCGTTAAGAAGGTATTTTTTAGAATTTAATAGGGAACGACATGCTCTTTTTATCTATGTTCTTCTTTAAGGTTCCTGTTGATAGCGATCTTTCTGAGATAGTCAAAGAAATCTCAATAATGCAGCAATGTGACAGTCCTTTTATCGTAAAGTGCTTTGGGAGTCTCTTTGATAATCAAGACCTTTGGATCTGCATGGAATATTGTGGGGCGGGTTCGGTTGCAGATATTATGCGCCTTCGTAATAAAACGCTCACCGAAAATGAAATTGGAACTATTCTGAAATACAGTCTTCTTGGTCTTGACTATTTACATCAGGTATATTTGACTGTCTCTATGTTATTGTCTTGTCTTTGACTGTTCCTCTTTTATTAAGTGTTATGGTCTTCATTAATTTTTCTCAAGCGCATAGTTTGATGCAATATGATATCGTTTTTTGTTGAAAATTATTTTTCGTGATTATTTTTTACTCCATCGTCTTAAATTCGTTTATTAGGTACGATTTTGTGTCGTGATTACAGCTGTGGAGTCCGATACGTGCACATTTTGTTCCTTTTTGTCTGACTTTATACCTTGTTGCATAATTCATAATCGAACCTACTATTCCAACGTCGAGGCGTCATATATGTTTTCCAATGTACAATATTATTCAAATCTGGAATTCTTTTCTGTAAAAGACAATTGCTTTTTAAATCTGTTGGATCGTTTGCCAATCTATGTTCTATTAACTCTAATTTTATGGAAAACTTCATTCGTCATAGTATATGATGACGTAAGCGGTTTCATTACTCAAGTTTCTGCCGATTGTCTGGAGCGACGGTGACCTTTTAAAACTCCCCTTATTATCTGATATGTCATCCGTATTGAACTCATCCTATGAACTCAGCATATCTTTTTGCTTTTCCCAAAACAATAGGTGAACATTTAGCTGTTCTGATATGTCAATTTGTCCATTGAATGATTGACTTCTTGTTTTCATTTCCCTTGTTACTCGCCAAACCAAATTCTGTCTTTTCCTTCTCTATAGATGCGAAAAATTCATCGTGATATAAAAGCAGGCAATATTCTGCTCACAAACTCTGGAATGGCCAAACTAGCTGATTTCGGTGTCGCCGGTCAGTTGGTGGACACCCTTGCTAAACGCAATACCGTCATCGGTACTCCATTTTGGATGGCTCCGGAGGTGATTTTTTTAGTGGTATTTGTATTTGAATAAAAGTGCTATTAGAATTTCAGTTAGAGATCTGGATGGGTGTGAGATTGCCTTTCTACGGTAATTAGACAATAAATTTAAATCAGTCGCTTTCATTGCATCTATTATTCGTATGACATTTTCAATTATTCACTGGGGCTCATACAAATGAAATTAAATCCTATGATTGCCAATTTAATATCTGCCTGAACTATTAAACTAACTCTTCCTCTCTCTACGACACTCGTTTAGCTTAAGATGAGTCCCGTTATCGTCCCCGAAGTTAAAAGTTTCATCAAGCATTTCTTAGGCAGAATAGGGATTGACGATGTAACAGTTTCCGGGAGCTAGACTGACCAACGGCTGATAACAAACAACCACACCTCTAAAATGAGAGAATAATGTTTTTCAACAGTGTGTTTACAACGACTTGTAAAATACACGGACAAATTATCTGTGACATCACAAGATAGAGTGCAAGTGAAAATCAATTTGCATCTTCCCCTCTTTTCCACACAGGTCATACAAGAAGTTGGCTATAATTGTTCTGCTGACGTCTGGTCTCTTGGGATAACAGCGATTGAGATGGGAGACGGTAAGCCGCCCTTAGGGGATGAACATCCAATGCGTGCCCTTTTCATGATACCCAGTCAACCATCACCGCGTTTGCGTGATGAGAGTGCCTGGTCTGCCAATTTTATTTCTTTCGTGAACTCATGTTTGGCACGATCACCTGAGGCACGGCCTTCAGCTTCTGATCTCCTGCAAACGGAGTTCATTCGATCGGCAAAACCCTCCTCTATTCTCCTGTAAGCTTATTCTTAGCGTCGTTTATAAAACTGGATGTTGGTGAGGTTCATGCTTTTTTTTGAAGGAAGAAGCAGCTAGGATATCTTGTGTGGATGTTTCGAGTTTCCTCATAGAATTGGATAATTTGTATAAGAGTTTTTGGCATATTTGCCGGGTATTTGAAGAGTATGTAGAAAATGCATTACTCAGATCAAGCCCTAACCTCACTGTGGGTTCGTTGCGGAAGAAGGAAATGCTGCTACTCCTATTGCTTGCTGGAATTATTCGTGCGGTTGGTTATCCACATAAATTGTACATCGACGAGTATTTATCTCTTCTCTGCTTGGCTAGATGCCATCGTCCATCAAGCGAAAAAAAAAACAAAATTTTTATCATTGGTTAGTATAGAAACACAAGTAACAAGTGAATAATCTCGACTTTATCTTAGTGTCTTATGTCGTACTAGTTGATCCTGTTTTTAGTAAGTTTAGTCCGTAGTGTAATTGTATGATATTACAAAGTTAAAAATTATGCATCTTTGATTCAGAACTCAACTGATAAAGCAGCAGCTACTTGCAAGCACAATTAAACTGGCCAGAATTCACTCAAACACTAAGCTGACTAATTGTAATGAAAGAAACTACGCTCAAATAACATATTCTTGATCTTCTTCATGCCGAGCAATATTTTCTATACTGTACGTCCTTTTTGTGTTTAAGACCCTTAATTGAAGAATCAAATCGCCTGAGAGAGAAGCGTTTGAACGAATCGAAAGCCGCGGCTTCTTCTGGTGCTGCTCTGAATCCCTCTGGGTCATCAAAATTGGGTGTCCACGCAGGAGCTGATTCCAAGTCCCCATGCGCTTCAAAAGTTTTAGATGTCTCCAAGAATGTAGATATTGTGGAAGAGGACCTGAACAATTCGGGAACCATGATTCAGCGCTCCGGTTCATCTAGTATGATTATTAGAGATGAATTTGGAAGGTAAGCATGTTTATGTACTATCCATTTTTATAGCAATCAAAAGTTACATAGCTTTAGTTCTCTTTCCTCTCTGATTAGTAGTTTTGTTTCTAAATCTATTACTTCTGTTTGCCTACAAGTGCTGTTGTCGGTGATGAGATCTCTTATTGCCCTCTTTATAGTATTCACTTACCTTTTTAATTAAGCATATCTTTGTTCATAATTTTTGAAAGTTGGTCCAAGGGGTTTGAGCTTTGTGCATTTTACACTACTTGTGATACTATTTTCGTGCTGAAGAGACCCATCGAAGTGGCTTGAAGCATACTTTAAACTGCCATTGTGGATGACATTTTGATGTGTGGTTTCAATCATCTCCCTCTTTCACATGAATTAATTCACCCTACACTTAGGCACTTAAAGTCCCTGTTTTTTTTGTTTCGCTTTTGAGTCAGTGATCTCGTCGGTGGAGTAAAACTATTGTTTTTTCCCGAGCATTCGCATATTCATATCGAATGGCAGGCGTTTTGATAGTTATCACTTGCCCTTTAACTGACTTCGGGCTTCACAGAGGGAAGGAACGTCAAAGTCAAAAAAGTAGAGAAGGTGAACAGAGGAATGATTTACAGATGCAAAAGTGACAGACAGGCAAAGAAAAGGTAAGATGAGTACTGTGGCAGTGGTCGAATATGACATAGAGTGGGTCATGGTAGCTTGAAGCCAGGAGTCAATTGCCGGTTCATAGACTTTTTTTGTCGTATGAGTATATGTTGCTCAGGGTTCACCACGTGGATGTGAGTCTTTTGCACTCCCCAAACTTTTGCGCATAGTTTTCCGGATTTGTATCACGACATGCCAGTTTTAAAATTTTTGAGGCAGGGGTTTAAGATTTCAGTGAATGTTGTAGACATTTTTAGATGCTTATATCAAAGATTTCATTGACATCTTGACTGATGATCCAAAAGAGGCTTTCAGGTAAGATAACCTGTAGGAATTTTCGTGGCATCCCAAATGTGAACTGTTCTTTGTTCATGCTTCGCCGCTGGGTTTCTAGTGTAATTCGTTGAGCAAACTCTTTCTAATGTTGGTCTTTTTACAGTACTTTTGGAAAGTCTCAGGTTTTTTTCATTACGACTGTTAGTACCTACTTCGGAAAGAGTTTAATAGGGAGTTAGTCCTGCTTTTGCACTGATAAATAGGAAAATTCCGAGGCCTTATGAGTTAATGTTTCACTTTACAAATGCTATGTTTGGTAGCTTATTTCTCATGAACGTTACATTATCTTCCTGCTGTTTACAATTCATTACTATGCTATCTAAGCCTTCTTTTTTTATAGACACCAGAAAGATCCCACTGAAACACTGGTCTCTTTTAGTCAAAGCGGAGATCACAGTGCAAACACCATGGTGATCAATGATTTGGAAGATGAAGAAGAGTGTTCATTGGTGATTTACAATGACAGTTCGATGGTGGAGAAGGAGAATTCGGATACCCTAACACGCAATTTCGCTCGTCAAGTGAATATCGACGATAGGAATGAAGAAAAGTGAGTGCCCCCTAATATATTTACTTGATTGATTATATCATAGAATTTTTACATAGATACTTTTTATCATTGTAGATCATATATATTTAGCTTTCGTCATTATCAACGGAGACTAAAATATGGGAATTTCATTCTTGAATAGGTAGTGATTGAAAACATATCGTTAGGTGGCTTTAGGTATTGAGAGCATCTTCTTCAGCACGCAATATGGTTAACAGAAATCAAGACGGTAGTGAACAGTGCTTCAAAAATGGTTTAGGAGTCGAAAACGTATTGAAGAAGAGAGATGGCTTAGGTATCTTAGAGTCTTCAGTCTTCTAAAATGTGCATTTCACATCGTAGTGGGTATAAGGAAAGCAAAAGTAAGCAAGATATATTGAGCAAAAAGAGGATAAGTATCAAGTTAGTAACTTCGTAACGGTTTTGCTGCTTAATATTATTGAACGAACACAAGATTGAAGAGTTGGCTTTATTGAAAACTAGGAAACACGAAGTAATGTAGGATTAGCTTTGTAAGTCTTATTTCTTACTGATAGAGGAAATTTCCCGGGCAAACTAATATTCTGCTGTGCGTAAAACTTTAAGTAGATCCTGAGCTGATCATGCATCTAGTTTTATTTATAATTAAATACCTCCTAATTTAGTGCGAATGTTGCGGAAGCCGTAGCGGCAGCTCAAAGAGACTGCGGACAAGCATCTTCATCCTCCATGTCTAATCCTGACCCGAGTCTTCCATCTCAGCCACCACCAGCTAGTAATGCACAACGCCCGTTTGCTCCCTTTTCACGAGCTTTTCAGGAGAGTGGTGCCCTACTCCATCAGCAAAATCAACAGCAACGGCAGTCTTCTGGCGATAATAGTAGTGATCAAGCCTCCCGACATGCAAATGCTCTTGCTCTAGCCAATGAACCCGGTGGGTTGGCTAAACTCTCCTACTCTCAGTTGGAACAGTTGTTAGTCAATCTGGGTCGTGATTTGGAGACGGAATTGAGGAATCTGGCCATTCGGTATCGTCATAAGAGACAGCCACTATTGGATGCTATTGCTGAAAAGACTACCGCGTTGTCGCCTTAACAAAGACTAGCAAAATTCAATCATTATGGTCACTTAACTGCCGCTGTCATTTTACTATATATCTCACCCATTATTTCTATTTTGATCGCTTTTAATAAACTCATAATTGAGCGCATTAAATTGAGTTTAAATGTTTATTTCCGCTGAAAGGTTGTGGAGTGTATTGGAGTTTGCATGCTTTAGAATCGGCTTGTCTTGTAATTACATCGATAGTTAAGGTCGTTAACATTGCTCAACCTCTAAGGTCTTCGAGCGGCATAAATGCGTTATCTGCCAATAAGCACAGGGGAGGGGGTCGCTGATAAGTGTTTGATACCTTTTTACATGAGAAAAGTGATGAATTTGTCAATATGAGCCGCCCATCGGTGGAATATTTTTAAAACCTTATACTCTTTTTGACTTCACTCCCCTTATTTATTATTATGCTTAACCTGTCCAGGTTAGTTGCTTTACAGCAGTGCGGAACTGTACATTTTTCAGCATCACATTTTGCTATAATGATGAATTTCATGTGACTTCGCTCGCTTTCTGAAGTTATTAAACACTAGTTTTCGTACGGATTTTTCCAAAACTGATGTCTCTTGGATTCAAAATCAAAATTCCGTTTATGAGAAAGACGAAATAACCATCGGCTCTTGGTTGTCAATCGATGATACCTACTTCAATGGCACTCTAATTTGCGAACGAACCAAAGAAATAGTAATTAAAACATTTCAATAAAGGTCAAATTTGCTTCACGGAATAGCAGAAATATAAACAAGAAAGTCATTAAACTGTGCTATAATAATTATTGATTCTGAGAAGGCAATTAGTTCAAATAGGCAAAATCGAGATTTGTTAGAATTATATTGACGAGTAAATGATAAGAAGCTTAAATCGGAGATTGCATTTTAAAGGTGCTATATGCGCCTGTCAGCATTGAATTTTGGTTAGGTTGGGAAATATCCGGTGCTTGTGCAGGCTCCTGTGCATACACAACGGTTTCATTAAGTTTTGTGAAGTCCGTACTTTTTATCCATTCCTGTCCAATCCTAACTCCAAATGCGATCATCACAATAAAAGATATAATGATTAACAAAATTCCGAAGGGTAAAAAGAGATCCTTATTGGTATAATCGTAGACATAATTTCGACACATGAAAAGAAATACAATTCCTAGAAATAGGACACCAAATCCGATACCAAGCGCAGCGTAATTAAATTTAAATGCTTGAAAATCATTTTGATCATACATTGGCATTCTTCGGCATTGCGGAAATATTTGGTTTCGGCGGTATTTCTTTAAGGTCTTTTTTAGTAAGTTTTAACTACATCTCTATAATATAAAGTTCACTGTCTATATTTTAGAAAAAACTTAATCCTAAATTTTAACACAATATCAGGTTTTATTATGTCATGTTGTTGAACTTGATGCGCTTTGTTAATAGTCTAGGCTTCTTTTTACATTTACATTGTTCTTCCGATTTCCCATGTCATTTCTTTGCTTCACGGTTACTATAAGTGGAGTTTTTCTGCTTTAAATATCCGTCGTTCTCTCCTACATTGCTAATAACATTTTTAATATAAAATATTCGTATCAATTTCTTTGCTAAACTTATATTAAATTATTTTTTCATTATTTTCAAGAATATGTGAATTGTACGAGTTTCTTCCATATGCCCGGTCCATTGCCCTTGAATTCTGAATGATATTATTACACGTAATGTAGCCATGATTTAGCTCCCTATATCGGTTAATTTTACGAATTCCACCTATTTCAATTACCAATAGTCATCATTGGACAATTTTTTATCTTCCTTCACATTGCTTCTTAAGAAGTAATGTGTTTTCTTTAAAATTAATATATTTATTGATTTTACAGTTATAACTCGTTTATTGATTGGTGACTTAATTCAGTATTTCAATGATGCTTCGCATTTATTCGTGTGTTAAATTTGCATTGAAAGGTGCTTTTATGGAAATTATTAGTTGTACAGTTAATAATTTCCTGAATGAAAATGACTGAAAAGCCCTATCGTTTCTAAATTCCACATTTCTGAATTAATCGTTTCCTGAACGGTATTTAATACATAAAGATTCATTTTTCAAACTTATAATAATTAGAATCAGATAACTGATGCAGACTCACGTTTGACGGCAGACACCAATGTTAGCATTATATGAACTCATAGATTTAAAATCTATAAACCTGTGGGTTTATTTTGAAATATGCAATTGATTAGTTTAGGCCAAATATATTAAATTCCCCACGAAGAGTATACGAGGGGGGGGGGGAGATTTCTGATGAGTGAAGCATGGGAGTAGATAACTAACAAGTTTGCGGCTGTGCATAAAAGTGATCGGAAATGCAGACGTTTAGATTCGCCGCCTATGCAGGAAGCGCATGTCAGTTATGTCAGTGAAGCAGAACTGTTATGAAAAAAGTGTAAACTCATCAAGTATGAACAGATAAGGATTTGAGTTACAGTGGCATAAAAATATCGCAATAGCTTAGCAGACGAAAAAATAAAAACATTTTTGGCCCAAATGCGTTTAAAAAATTATGTTGGAGAATGCATGACCATTATTCAATAGGGAGTGTTATGAAGTGTTAATGTATTTCTTTGGTTGACTCATGAGATTTGGATGTTGATTATCTTGTCTTGCTCTCCTAATATCCAAAGTAAATGTTTTTAGCATTTTAAAATTAATCACCACCTTTAATATTGATATGCGTATACCCGAATGTTAGTCTTGAGTTTTATTGATATTAATCTACCTTCTTGTCTCCATGTCGGCGCTTATGCTCAGACAGTTTCGTTTTTAGGAACTTACTTTCATGTGTCTTCTCTCTATGATGTTCGACTACTTCAAATTCTTGAACTCCGTTACTGCGACTCAGATCATTCGTTTTAAAATGTTGCACTTTGGCATTAGTTCTTGACACATAGCAATTCTCGTTATTTTTAAATGTCTGCGTGGCCGAAATTCGATTTTCGATCAACTTGTCCAAGAATCGATTTTTTTGCCATTATTGGGTTCGAATCAGAATGGACCTCTAGAACGTAAGCGGAGGAATTCACATGATAACAGTTTTCCCTCTCTCTACAAGCGTTTCGAAATTTTTCCATCAAATTGATGAACTTTGAAATGATTTCATTAATGTATTAATTGCCTGACACATGCTGTCTCCACAATGTTGTACGTGTACCTCATCAGGAACTTCACGTTACCCTTCCCACAGAATATTGCTTAATTGGCACTGTATAAAGCGTACTCTGAATAAGCTTTTATTGAGGAACGATGTAGTGTCCAGGCAAAACTAAGTGAAAGAGTAGGAATAATCAGAAAAGAGAATTAAGAATAGGTACGTATAGTATATTAAAATCAAAACAAATTGATAATACCTACATTAAGATAGGTACAAAATCTCTTTGAATTGTAATTTTTATTGTTAAATCTCTTCAGTGACTAATATATGGAAAAATATTGTAAACAACTTTATCAATAACTGTCTTTAATGATCCTTTGGCGATATTTGGTTATCCATTGATTTCAAGGAACTTAAAAGCTGTTGGTCGAAGAAGCAAGCTTATTAGAAATGTAAGTGGAAGAATTCTACGCTATAAAGAGTTCACCAAATTTGAAATCATTTTGGAACTGATTGTACCATCAAAGAGTAATGCCTTCCTCTACTGGCAGCCAATTCAAAATGGTTTGGAGATCGACGACTATGAAAGTTGATATGATAGAAATCGCCACAGATGGTAAAGATTTATATCAAATGGCAGGCATTTTGGTAGTTATCATTAGTCCTTTAGCTGACTTCGGGCTTCACAGAGGGGCGGAACATTAAAGTCACAAAAGTGGAGAGGGTGAACAGAAGAATGATTCACAAATGTAAAAGAAACAGACGGACATAAAGGCAGAGAAAAGGTAAGATGAGTACTGTGACAGTGGTCGAATATGACACAGGGTGGGGTCATGGTAGTGTGAAGTCAGAAGTAAACAGCCGGTTTATAGACTTTTGTCGTATGTGTTTGCTTTTCCTAGGATGCCCAATATGAAAATGAGTCTATCGCAGACCTCAGATGGTAAATATTGTGTAATAGTTAGCTGCTACTAACTTATGAATTTCCCACCATTGCCAAAAAACCAGAACCCAAACCTGAGTATGATTAAACGAAATTCTTCATTTTACTTTAAATGGTAGGCTACTGAATCTCATGTAGAGTCATTATACCTTTCCAACCACTGAAGTTTTTAGACAAAAAAACTAATAATGAGTACTGAGCCGTAGACAGGTGTTTCATGCAATGCTGGTGACCAATCAGGAAATTTGGTTTTCAAATCGTGTATTACGCATTTAATGAGTACTTTATGCTTCGAATAAGAAGGCAAAATGAGGCTAGAGGTCATCATCTTTTTTATCCCCTCTCTTAATCATTTTGTGGATCTTGTATTAATCACGTTCAGTTACTTCAAGCAAATAAAAAAGTGTTAAACTTTTTGTGCATTACCGTGATCAATAATAATAAAGCAATGAAGATTTATAAATAGCTGACAAAATATGTTTATTAGATTATTTTGTTAAGAATTATTCATTTAACCCTTTAGAAATTACATCTAAATTTCAACGGACTAATTATTCATCCACGTTATGACTATACGCATATCGATTCATATTCGATAAGTTGCACTTATCATATGGTCGAGAGCATGACTTGCGTCTTGAACTTTACTCCATAAATCTTTACAAAGTAACCTCTACCCTCTGCTTTCCTATCAAAAAATATTCTGCCCCATTTCTCCCTTGTGATAGCGGTGGTCTCACAGTTTAGATCGGCTATAATGTAATATATCACTCCGCATTGGATTCTTCCTGTTCTCTAGATAATTAATAAGACTATTCTTTCTACCACAGTTTTAGCCTAAGCTCTTTTCCCAGTCAAATCTATTTGACGCGAGTTAGTTTTTGAGTAGTATAACCTATCATATATATGAAAAATCAATGCAGATTC